AGGTATATTACTAGTTATGGTACTTTGGCTCCGAAGAAGTTTACTAGTTGCAAAGACCTTCCAAACTGATTCTTCACGACGGCACTTCTGAGAATGCCTGATTTTGACTTACTACATAGCTTATCGCTTCTGTAAGGCTTGTGATATATCATGTGATAAGAAATTCTTGTGGCAATAAAACATAGCATATGATAACATATGATAAACAGTGATCCAACACAAATGTATGAAAACGTGATATTAAAAGTTCCAGTGAACCTTTATGTGAAATAAAATAAACGATTTCGTTTTTTCATGATACCACACATTCAAGGAGGTTGATTGTAGCTCCAGCAGATTCGATCTTTCCAATTACTCCTTGTGACAGTAAAAACGTTTATCCAACACACTGGCCGTCTGAAAACTTATTCCGTTAAAGGCTTAACAAAAAAGAAGGAAACCAGCAAATAGTAAAAAAATTGAATAAAAAGTAAAAAAACCAAAGAGTGACTAGTTTTCAGCGTGCTATCTGAAAATACTATAAAACAATGCCTCTAACCTTTACTCCTTCACAGCACGCCACTCTCGGGAACAAGCACACCTCACCGCTATCGCAAGGAGTAGGACTCAGTTCATTATCAGCTCCTCTGAATTGGGTTAGCTTGGATTGACAAGTCTATTCAAGGAGTAAAATAAAGGTATCAACACTCACTCGCAGGTGGGTGCTGGACATCCCGCAGCGTTGACGCATTGGCGAGTTCTAGTAGTTCTACCACAGTGACCACATGTGTCCGAACATTCTTCTCCATCTACCCATTCACTCCATTGACCAGTGCAATTCTGGCAATGCTCCAACTCAATACGGGATCCGCTGAAATAGTTCATCTGATGAGTAAAGGATACGCGTTACCGTAGTACCAGCAAAAATGCTCTTTTATATGAAATCCAGCTTTTGTTTTAAAAAATATTTGGTGAGGAAGTTGAAGGGTGAGGGGGACAACAGACTGAAGTAGGATAAACGTAGATTAAAAGGCCTGTAGGACGTGTATCAGCATCCCAGTTACAAACCGGTCCCCCTCACTAACGGCAGAGCCTAACTGCCAGTGAAGGATGGATCCCTTTAGCTCTTAGGTTAGAGCTATCTAACAGGCGACTTAAAGACAATTTGGAAGCGCAATAACAAAAATGTTATTTTCAATGAAATGTAAAAAAGACTATCAGAAATTTTCGACGAAAACAAGGTCGCTACTTCTTAGAGAAAGAAGAAATGGAGAAACGAAAGAATGCAAGGCATCTTTGTTTCATAAATTGACTTTGAAATAAACTTAGTTATCCAAAATAAATAAGGAACACAAAAATAAATAATAACATGTAAAGAATGGGGAGATATGTATGGTGTTGAATTGAATGTTTGCATGGAACGTGTACGTGCCAAAATTCACCTGCACGTGCTCAAATCGTCACCAGGAATGCAAACTCTTGTGCGACCACGTGAAACGGCTCCGGGGCATGACTGCAAATGCCGTATATTGTAAAATATGTTTGGTCAATATAGTTTTGATGGTGGCCTTACCAGTACTAAAAAGTAATATTCATAAAAAGTAATATTCATACTAAACAGACTTTAACTGTTTACCCACTGCGCACTCTAGACTCCATAGACCCCATGCACCCCAACTTGGCCCCGCTGCTTCGATGGCGATCGAAAGTGCCACGACCAACAGTAGACAACGGGACATACTGAAATGGATTATTTATAAAAATGATAAATATCCGATATTTATGGCGACAATGAATTGTTGGAAATGACTGTATTGTAATTTTAAGTAATTGTTCTTTGAGAGAATTATTTCGGTTTTTGTTATATGAAAACAAAAATCGAAAATCACAAGGGACTCAGCCAAAATTGTTCTAAAGTGGAATTTTCGGTATCTCATGAAATGCACTATTAAGCTCCGAACAAAGTTTTTAAATTATATATCAATGAAGGATGTCAAGGGGAGGGCCCCTCGAACGAAGCTTGAACTTAGCTATTTTTCTTACCTTCTAGGGAACATATGACTGCCAAAGTTTCTTTTACAAAATTTTTGTTCAAATTTACTGCCTACATGCCATTTATTGTCAATTATGACGTAAAATCAAATAGTTGGATAGATAGTGTTCAATGTTTTATATGGGATACGGGATGGGAATGTGCAAATATCTGCCAGTGGGCCGGCTACGAATCAGAAAAATGTCATGGCGTTCTCTGATTCACGTTATAGGAAGCAAAAGTCAAAAGGCTGATCCCAACCGATCTAAAATCGCATGGAAAACGAAGCTCAATGTTCATGAGATCAACGACCAATGCGATAGTTGATGATCGTACTTATAAAAATTTATCAAAAGTCGGAAGATAGAAATTAAAGTGCAGGTGAGCTGGTGTGCAAACGAGAGCGAGCTCATTGTGCGACGAAAAGAAAACAGCTTGTAAATTTCTTATATTCTATATTCCCACTACTATTACTACTGATATCACTGGATTACTACTATTCGCACTTACCATTAGAGATTTTAAACTTCCAGAAAAAAACACATTTTCGTCCAGTTTCTGCTCCTTCCATTACTATGTAGCTAAGAGGACCCACCATCATTACTTGGACTGAGTCGTCCGTAGTATTGGCTTCAGTCTTGAAACAACTTTGGTTCGTCGAAATCGAAGCGCCGCCTCAGTTTTTTTTTTGAAACGGTATCCCGAAATTTGAGATAGTTTCCTGGTAACTGTTTGAATTCTATCACCATATTCCTTAACCGGTACCTCCTGTAGTGGCCAGAGCTACCTGTTCTCCTTCCCCTCCTCACCTGAAGAGCATTTTGTAATTGATCTGAAGGACGCTTCCAACAATATTAATCTGAGAGCTTTGAAATCCGCGGAAATTTAGGACTATGTCTTGTCAAGGGAATGTGAAATATGTGTTTTCGAATAGCGAAGTTGTTTCGATGATCTCAAAATCTTCCTATCGTCAAACCATTTTGTCCTAACCCAAACACATAAAGCTATTGTAATGAGCATTATTACAATTGCCACTGTCATATAAGTTCCACAAATAACATTTATTGTTCACTTTGAAGCCTATCGTACCGGCACGGACAAGGGAGTTGGGGCGTCCTTCAGAAAATATGTTTTCGCTGTGTACTACATATCGTAGTTTACATGGTAGGTAGAAAAACATGCAGCTGGACTGGTTAGGATAAATAACCCCCAGACCTTTTTTATTGGCTTAAAACAATATTTTTTTGGCTTACAGCAGTAACAATATATTTTCACTGAAAACGAACAAGAATGTGTCTGGGCAGATGGCTCCCCAACCGTACTAGGGAGCAACTCTCGTGGTAAACGAAAGGACCAACGCCCCACCCAACTCACAGCTCTAAGCTTTTCCTGAGAATACTCCGAGGTATTGCTTACTCATAGCTCAAATTCTGTTCTGGCTAGTTTAAGGCACTGTTTGTTTCTGTGTTGTCCATTTGAGGATCTACAGTAACCCTGGGACCTTAGCTGCTAGGACACTGCCCAGTCGCGAAGTTGAACTCTGACTGGCAACTGCTGGGACACGCTACAGACCTCCGACCTCCACACTCTCCTCTACGCGTTGCAAACGGCAGCTGAATAAAAGAATGCAGTGCAATCCTAATACAAATATAATCAGTTCGAACATGGTGGTATGTTTTTCAGCGCTTTGCCATGCTACCGTACACAGCTGTGATTTTATTGGTACGATGAATTTACCTTCAAAAGTCACTACAACTAAAGTTTCGTATAAGTCAGAAGGTCGGAAAACGGAAGTGAACTCGTAAATATAATATGTAAAGAAATCCAGAAAAAAATTCTTCAATTTTTAAGCGTTCAAGATTATTCAGAATGTTCATTTCCAAATTTTGCTCTACAAAAATAAATAAAAAATTTCAATTCGTGCAAAAATCTATTAGATCAACTAAATATTCAGTATATAAATAAACAATTCCGAAACAGCCTTAAAATTGTTCATTGTAGCTGGCAACACTCGGCATCGCCCTGTCATCTGGTATTCGAGCGAAACGACAATGTAATTACAATCTTTTAACCTCTTTCTATCTTTCCAGAAATTAGATTTTTCATTTTTCAGCGTTCGGATGCTCAAATTCGGGAAACAACGACCGTATCAGAATGCTGTTTCTGAATGCTCATAACGAAGCTCGGCTCAGTGTGGCCATGGGTTTGGAACCGAACAAGTGTGGTTCACTGCCATCAGCTAAGAACATGTACAGAATGGTAAGATTCAGTAATTCGAAGCCGAAAATGCAGAATTCACCCAGTACACCATATCCTAGTGTTGATATGAATTCGACTCTTTTTTCGTCTAACTGGGAAGATAAGAATCTTGAAGCAGACCGTAATCCTGAATGGGGCATAGGCAACCATTTGATACAACCATACCCTCTTCCCAGAAAAAGATCCTCTCCCTTAGATAAAGATAAAAGCCCACCCAGAAGCTACCTCCTTTCCCCATAATTCCCTTTACTTTCATTACTACTTTTCACTTTTTTACTTTAAACTCCTTTGAAATTTGAAATTGAATTTGAATTTGAAGGTGTTTTTCTCACCTCCATTTTGTAGAGCTTATTAAACACTACATTTGACCGTTCGTCCAGTTCAATGAAGTTTATAGTTCTGGTAACCGTAGAAGTTAGAAAGCTCTGTGATATTTGATTATTATCGTTACTTACAAAATCTGGCGATTCGCAACCCTAAAATCACTTTCTAGTTGACGTAACGTTAACTAATGAATGCTACTAATAAAGAAGTAATAAAACTGAACAAAAATTGATAATCATCAATAATAATGAAATAGATTAGAGATTCCTATTTGTAAGTTATTTGCTGTGATCGAGTGAGCTCCCGGTAGCTAGAGAGGCAGTTTATAGTAGCACTCATACTGAGTGTGATAGCAAGTTTTCATTTGTTACTCGCTTCAGGAATGGGACTGCTCCCTTGAGCAGCAGGCACAAGACTATATCGCCAAGTGCCCGACATCGATGGGGTCATTCAGCGGTCTGTCGCAAAACCTTCAGAAGTAAGGGATTTTTGCAGATCACTTTATAGTTTGTGGTCCATAGATTCTTGTAAGACCCTGACTACGTTCAACTCCTTCAAATATGTCCTCCTACCCTGACCAGTTGAGCTGCTTTCCTGGCATTACTGTTTCTCTGTATACTTCCCTCCGGGTGTGGTGCAGTAGGAACGAAATGGTCGCGTCACGACGAGAGAGACGCCGCGAGCGAAGAAATGTAGCAGAATGCAGCAGAATGTAAGACAAACAGAAACAAAAGAATTAACAGTAGGACCATTCCAAAAGCAATATCCGCTTAGCGATTGAGTTGTTTGAAGAATGCTAGAACAGTTATAATTAGGCAAATGTTCCGCGATAGCCGCGTGCGGCGGATCGATTACACAAAACTGTTCCTACTGCCCGTCTCCCCTGTGTTTCGCTTCCTTTGTCAAGCGCTGTTTCTATCGCACAACCTAAAATGACTTGCCGACAAACATTACCGATGACATACCCAATCGCTCCTACCACGATTTTGTTAAAACTTCGCCACCTTAACATTCGAAGTAGAAAATTTCGAAATCGTTGTAGGTACAGAAGAACAGCTTCTTTTTTTGAAACTCCTTTAACTTCAGCTTCAATGGATTGACGGTATCTATGAATATCGAAGATAATATAGCAACGGCATTGTCAACATGGTGGGGCAAAGTCCGTCAATACGGTAGCACTGATCCTGAGAATAAATATGTCGACTCCAATCTCTACACATTTGCCAATGTAAGTCATTTTAATGCCATTCAAAACATCAAACTGCATTAAAATAAAAGGGAGAAAAATAAAAAAAAACTAAAAAGCAAGAAAAAAACAGCAAAAATTTCAACTTGCTGAACTTTCTTCCCATTCCCGTGAAAAAAAAAGCTAAGGATAAGTGTAATTTTTCCAGCACTTATGATATGAGAAGGTTCCATCAAAACTTTTTCAGATGGTTCATTCGAAAACTACTGGAATTGGTTGTGCTTACAAGGTCTGTGACGTAACAAAACTTACGATTACTTGCCTCTACAACAAGATGTGAGCTCTGAAACAGGAAATGAAATCAAAAGATTTTCAAAATTTGCTATTATATGTTGGCACAATTCCAAGACGTTTTCCAGTGGTTACTATACGAACGGTGTAATGTGGGAAAACGGTACGGCCTGTACATCGGCATCCGACTGCACGACGTACCCTGGTTCAACTTGTGAGGGAAGACTTTGTGTAAAAGGACCCGAAGATCCAGGTGCTTTTTTTTCCTCGTAAATAGTAATTTAGGAAATAATTATTTTCATAAGTAGTAGTAAGCAGTCAGCATTAAGTAAGTAGTCAGCAGTATAGTCAGTCTTCACAGTTACAACGGTGAAATGACTCCAGTTCAAATCAAAGTTTACAAGCCTAGTCATAAACAGGCTATGAGACCAAAATGTCGCCGCTTGCCAGCCTTGGGCAGCTATAATTCATAGAATTCCGGTTCTTTAGGCCAGGGCGTTACGAAGACATTCTATGGCATCGGTCGGTTAGTTGAACTTTCTTTGGAGGATAGAGTTCACCAGTACACCCTGAAGGGTGCCGGTTGCTATGTAGGTTCTTTGGGGGATGACTACATCCGAAAGCACTAAATCCTAGAGGGGATGTTGTGGGGGTGAAGCGCTTGAAAATGTAGGTAAAAAAGTACATTTGTAGAAGTACTGCTGTACAGTAGGCTTCTGCCACCTTGCCGCCACCGGCATTGCAATGGTGACACGAAGCAGGGTCAGTGGTAAGTAAGATCGAAATTGTCGCCTCGCGGCAAGAGGGACGCCGCGCGCGAAGGAATGTAGCAGAATGCAGCGGCAGGGAGAAAATCCAGGAACAATAGAACTTACAGTAGAATCATGCCTAAAATAATGATCGTATATCGACTGAGCTGTATGAAGAATGCCAGAGTTGTAATAAGGGAACGAATGGTCCGCGACAGCCGCGTGCGGCAAATCCATTACACGAAACCGATCCTACTGCCCGGTTCCCGAGGTCAACCTCCCACCACTATCTGCCGAATGCACCCACTGTCGATCGAAAACCGATAGCGGCAGAATAAGTTAGTAACTTCAGCATAGCGGACAATTGAACGTGCAAGATTATCGTGATTCCCATAGCACTGAAGGTTGTCTTCACCGAGGCTGAACCAGCTCGTCGCGCGCTATAATTTTATGCGCTTCCGACACTTCCCCTATTAGACTCCAGCACTTTGCCATCGATCATTGGATTTTTTGAAAGCTGTGATGCTTAGAATCCATGGTGAAAAGACTGTTGTAAAAGAATTTCGCAGATGCTGGTGCCAACACGATGTGTCCATCAAATGCCAACATGACCGATGCCGCACGAAAGAAGTTCCTCGACACGCATAACTATCTCAGGTTTCTTTCGGTTTTACGCAAACATTAATTCAAAAAATAGGTAAATATAAAAACAACGTGCAACCAGTTCAGATTGCCAAAATTGACCCTTCAATTAAAAATTATTTGAAAATTTCGGCTCCTAATAAGAATAACAAACATAGGTCACGCGTAGCCCAAGGTCTGGAGCCGGATGCACTTGGAGGAAACGCTCCCAAAGCTTCGAAAATGCTGAAAATGGTTGGTGGTCTCATTTCATTTGGCTCGGCATTGACGTGACTACTAGATGAGAATCCTAAGAATTCGTCCCAGGTCTACGACTGTGATATTGAAGCATCTGCAATCAAGCACAGTCAGAAATGCGTCTATGAACACTCATTACCAGCAGATCGTGTTGGATTCGGAGAAAACCTCTTCAGGACTTCAATACTGAACGCTGATAGAGTCGAGAGCGCCGCTCAGGTTGGTTGGACCTTTATAGGACGTTCTCAATGCCACAAAACCAGTAAACAATATAAAATATTCAGTCTTCGCAAGCCTGGTGGGATGAACTCAAAACCTACGGTGTAGGACAGGCAAATAATCTAACTCAAGAGCTATGGAATAGACCGAATATGCAGATTGGTCATTATTCACAGGTGAGCTCGGCTGGTCCCTTTCCCCTGTTTAGATCTTGAGTCATCGTTCTTCTCAAATCCCCAGTTCAGATGGCATGGGATCGCACGTACAAACTGGGCTGCTCGATTCAGCACTGTCCATCGTTCACTTACGTTGTCTGCCAATATGGCCCACAGTACGTTTAAAATCACTGAAAACAAGTTTTTGACTTTTCTTAGCGCGTTGACCGTTGGATGGAAACGAGACATTCACGTTTCTCCTCTATATTGATTCACCAACGTTCAATCGATAATTATCTACTGAAGAGGTCGGCCTAGTGACGGACTATGTGCTAGGGCCTGATGGGTTTGCTTGTATGCTTAACCTTGCGCCGCTCTCAAGCTAGCCTAAAACTATGCTAAGTGTCGGTCAGGAGGTGCCATTCGTAAAAGCGTCTGCGTCTGCGCAGAGTATATCCTAGAGATAGCGCGCCGCGTGTGTTGCCGTGCGGTGCCATGCGGCTACATGATAGGTTGCCGAAGAAATTCATGATAAACCGCCCATTTGCTGCTTCATCTCTGTTGTTTTAGCTTTAATTTTATGACATTTCAGAGGAAACTATATGAATCAACTGATCTACTCACTTGGCAATCCGTGTACTAGCGATGCCGAATGTCCAGGTTCCTACACCTGTAATGTGTCCGAAGGACTCTGTAACGTAGTTTAATCACTGGTGAAACTGTAATTGGTAAAGCGTAAATTCGAAGTAAAGACTATTTTTCTCACCTACTATTATGCTCCCATCTACACACTCGAGGAAATCTCACACAACATCGGCTTTCGTTTCGCATTACCGGTACATTCACGAAAAACTGGTCTTTTGTCTGATATCGTACAGAGAAATAATCTCCATTGATGAAGAAGTATTCTCTTACATTTAAAGAAAGGGAGCATTCGAGAATTAAATGGTCTTTTGTCTGATATCGTACAGAGAAAAAATCTCCATTGGTGAAGAAGTATTCTCTTACATTTAAAGAAAGGGAGCATTCGAGAATTAAAATTTCAACATCGACAAAGCTACGCGACGTCGCGTGCGATTGTCTGGGCGGTGGCTTACGCCGCTGCCATTGCTTTGTTGACCACGCAGTAAGTCGTTTCGTCGGTCCCATCACACTTAGAAGTAATCCCTAACTTACCAGTAGGAATTAGCAAGGCAAGCAAGAATTAATAATCAATAGTAATCACCTTTCTGCGGCACTTGAACTTGTAAAGGGGTATTTGTCAAGGTACCGGCTGAATTTTCATCTTGTAGTGCCGTAGTCCTCTCACAAAGGTGATCTTCAAACTAGATAACCCTCTCGTAAGGCCAGAAATTTCTAAGGCTGTTTAGGTCAAGGCTTTGCGGTTCAAATGTGACAGTTCGATCGAATCAGAACACCATTTGAATCTTGATCTTATTCACTGATGACTCAACTATGTTGTAATCTGTACGCGTATTTAAAGGAGCAGGCTACGATAATTTCGCGGTGTCGAGTTTCAGGCGAGTAATGAAAATGATAGCTCGGAATAGTGCAGAAAGGCGAAGAAAGCGCGAAAAGCTGCGTATATAGAGAGATAATAAAGTCTCGAAAAAGTACTGAATTTAGGGGTTGGGTGAGAATGTGGCGATAGATGTTGCATGGGAGGGGTGAATGGACGAGCTATACATGTGTTTGCGCCACTGCTGCAGTAAGCTGCCTACGTGCAAGTTGTGGGTCCTGGTGCGAATGGTGCAATCTCTATAGCTTTCACAACGCTTAGGAACCTGTGCACCTTGGATGCGTACGTCCGCTATTCCGTTTTTGGGGCCATTCTTACGCCCTTCTTGGCCGTTTTTCGACCCGACAGCGTCTTTTAGTCTATCTTTGAGGACCAGAGGTTAATTGAAGGAGAAATCTCAAGAGCCCATTTCGAACGTAAACTGTTCCTTCAATGAAATAGAAGAGTTAATACAAACACAGACAAAATTCGAGAGTGACCGTTGATTTTGTCCATTTCGCTTGCGATTCGGACCTCATCATTGCCGTCGGCAATGAGCTTGATGGGATATTTGTGGGGGTCAGGCGAAGAGAATACGGAAATGAGGCCCATTCAGACGCTCTCCCGGTCATTTTTTACTCTAACATGGGCTCATGTTTTATTGGCGACACTTCAACTTCTATTTATCTCAACTCTTGGTAAGACTGGCACATCAGCCTCTTGGATGTCACAGGGCAATTCACTCGTCTATGAATGGGAATTTTATCGTCAGGTCCACACAGACGTCCCCCCCCCCCCCCCCCCCCCCCTCCCCCCTTCTTCCCTCCCCAATCTGCTGTGACAACTATTTTGGTTTTGAAAGGACTTTCTTCAGAACTTAGGAACCCAACTACTCAAATAGTAACTTTGATTTTCTTCCAACACGCTCTTTCTTGTATTTCATTTCTTTTTGAGGTTTTTATGCCCTGGTTTGTCCAGCATTTTTTAATATTGCATGTGAAAGTATTGAAAAAGCAAACTCAACTGAAATTCTGCTTTAACCTTTCAAACTTTCCTTTAGCTCGTCTGAATTTTTCATGGAAGACCGTCAGTATTTGCAGTATATTATCAGTAATGCGGGAAGTATTATGTTGAGGCTGTTCGGTCCGAAACCTTCTCAGAAAAATTACTTTTAAATTGGTTTTTTTTACTAAGTTATCAAATAGTCACTAGACAGTTCTGGAAATTAAGCAAATTTTTGCAATTTCCAGCAATTTTGGCTGATCAACGGTCACTCAAAGTCGGTGGGATTCAATTATTTAGTGAGAACGGCCACTTGAGTCGTCATTGATATGTGTGCGGTGTATACAGAAGACCACTCGGCGCTCACCCTCCCTCATCTTCAAAATCGCGGACACTTCTTCATCACACCTCGGCATCTACTTTGGTGTCTACCATCATATTCAAATAACTTGTAACCGATCCCTTCACGTCTGAAGTACATTTTTAAGTAGTGACGCCATTGTAACGATTTTTGGCTTACAGTTGGCTTACTGCTTAGGATTGTACTCATGCAAACCTCTCGGACCTTTTCTTCTTCCATTCAGGTAGCATTTACTTCACTTTATTATTTTCCTAAAGTAGTAAATGTTGTATTGAATCGATATTAAGGGTTTGTGTGCTCATCTGGCCAATGCTATGACTCAGGTACCTGCGACAACTGACATATAAGTAAGGCGGTTGTCCCCTAGCTACCCATGAAAATCGCTGGAGTCACTAGCTCGTTTAAAAACGGAATTCGGATTTCGCTGGCTGTACTCTAAGTAACAGTATAAGTGAAAAGTTAAACCGTTGCACCCTCACAAAATCTTTCATTCTCTGGGATCAGTGAGCTGGTACCGGACTCGTCTGGGAGGATAAAAGCAGTGATTTGTGCACCAGCGGGCAGCCGTAAGTCATTGTACAGGACACACGTGCTTTCCAAACGCCACAACGATTCTGAATGGAAGTCAAATTCAGGGCACATCATCGAATCGGGATTGACTATCGCCAAAAGACTTCATATTCTGTCCTTAATAGTAACCAGAGTAAAGGCAATAGAGAACAGTTTGCAAAATTTTGGAAATTTGCTTTCGTCAAGTCCCAGAATGTTCCCGAATTTCATCCTCTTCGTTGGCACTTTGTCTGTACATGTTCTATCATGTAGAATACTACATTATCTTTATTTACTACAAATAATACAATTTCGAAATAACGTTTTCAAAAATCATTCATTGTCATGAATTTATTGTATATTTGACTGCGACGACGTGGGTGCTCAACGATGTGAACGTTAGCTCGAGAACTGGATGTCGAACCACGTGACGTCACACTTGAAATTCGACGAACTGGAATTTGAAGTTGAGCAGTTTCTTGTACTAATAAACAAAATAAGGTAGAAAATAAAAGTATAATGAGTACGACTCGAGATCGTTTTCTCCCAATTATAAGATGTCCATTTAAAGCCGGCTTTTTTAGATAATATCGGGAGATGGTAGAGTAGTCGCTACCACGCCCTGCAATTGAGCAACTTCCCCGTTCAGAATAATTTTCTGTAATTAAGAGAAATTCTGTGTTGTAAGTAAGAGGAAACTATGGATTTGAAAGCTAGGCAGTTGCTTTTTTACCCATTCGATTACTTTGGGGGATTACTTCCTCATAACTTGGATAGAGGAGGTGGAAGAAGAGGAACGCTTCGGGAAACTCTGAAACGGTGAAGACGACTTTAACACTGGCCTTAACGGACCTAGTTTTGACGCTCCTATTCAAGTCAAATTGTAGATCCCTTGGTCAGAGGAACAGCTCTGTGGTATGTCGGGGTAGTGGGGGTAGCCCTAACTAGTCCCAAGACCCAAAGTCATGATTTGTACTATTCTTCTTTCCAACTTGGAAAAATTGGAACCAATCCTCGGAAGGACCACTTACTTTTAAGTCTTGCTGGATGCTTACGATCGAAGTCATCACAAAACGAGTGTTTGCCGGTTGGTTCGCTGAGATACTGAAATTGAAACCGAATTTATGTACACGCCATAATATTTATCCCTCACCATCTACTCGTTAGTAAGTAGAATAGCCTGGATGTGCCCAAATTGTAGTTATATACTGACTACTCTGAATTTCTCTGAAGTCCGAGTACCCAACGTGAACTTACTTGATCGAGTTTATCATCAGGAATATCAACGGCGCATTGCCGTTTCAGACGACGACGTTCCATGTTGCCGTCGAAGGTAAGCCTTTGACTCAATGGAAGATTCTTCAGAGATCTTTCTGAAAATCTGCCAACTTCACCGAAAAATGAGAACAATAAATGGGGAAAACGCCAGCTCAAGTCTGTGAATAAACCAAAAATGGCTGCTGATAGGGGGCGTTGCTATCGGTTCCATAATCCGAACATCTAAATCCGGATAGAGTTCCGTTGCCCCAGGCAATCAAGCCTTTTATCCTTGTATCCTCCCTCAGTTCCATTCTAATTGACGCCAGACTCCTACAGGAAAGCAAAAACAGTGGGTTGTCCAACTGGTGGCTCGAACAAGTCGATTTATTCGAAATCAGCTTCTGAACAAACCCACAACTTCAAATACAAATCTAAAAAGTAGCCCACTCAAGTAAATGCCCAGTAAAAGACGAAGATTAATTTGAATAAAGTTCTAAATGTAACTAACCTATGTTATGCGTATCCATTTCGTTGAATGTGCTGCTGAAAAAGTAAAATAGATTGATATCCTCCTATATTATTGAGTAGAAGAAGATATTTGTAAGTATTTCTCAAAAGTATAGCCAAATTGCGATAATTCAAAACAAAACGCACTTGAATTTTAATTCTGACAAGGATGGTGGACGAAGTCTATAGTGATGCCGATGCGTATCATCTTCAACAATCTCATCTGATTGTAGGAACCTGTAACTATCATGAATGAATTATTGATCAATTGAAGTAATTGGAAGTAAAAACCGATACCTACCGGACACAATGAATCGATTTATGTGGTGACGCCGGCATAGTGGAACCGATAACATCTCCCTCATTCATGTCGACTCCTAACAGGAATAGCCATAGGAAAACAATGAAAACAAAAATGGTCTTATTGATTGATTTGAAAGGTACGCACTTGATGGAGCTTTCGGAGGAATATGTTGATTCGATTGCAAGGTCTGAGTAGCATAACTATCGGCAGCAACGGGACATTCAATTTTTGTTTCTGAAGGGTTTACTTTGAGCATATTAAGTTGTGAGAATATTTAAATAAACAATACTTTGAGCTTGAAACTTTATTTCTGGGCCCAGGCCCAAAGAGACCTGATGAGAGAAGTGGGAAATTTGGCCCCACTAGAATAGGACCGAGGAATAGGATGTTAGTCTAAATGACGACGTTTTGCTTACCATCATCGGCTCCAACACCTTCATATGAAGCTTTATTGATTGATTGTATCACTAGTTTGAGAAGAAACACAAATGTCTCCATCAAAGTCACACAGCTACAGCCAAGAAATAGCGACGTACCACCTCCAACGAATGCTGAAGTAATTTTTTTCGGAAATGACCAGTGAAGAAATGGTTTTTCGAAACTTACACAATACGTCTGTTATGCCCATTTTCCGCACTTCTACCAGCACTTCCATTTTTTTGTTGAATTCAAGAGAGATCCTCAAGCCTCGCGATATTCGTGAGTATGATGACCGGATCCGCCATTCTACTGAAGAACATGGTGGATAGCAGGGGAAGTCTGGAAAAAAGGGAATTTCAACGGAAGAAAAAAAGCGAACTGGAATATTTGTATCATCAGTCGCTTGTGATAGTTGCTGAATTAATGTTGCTCATCTATCAAAAAAAAGAAAAGTTCTCGTACAACCAAGCTGCTTCCGACACAGCTTTTTGAGTCTTGGCCTGGAGCGACCGCGATTGGTGGACTTATTAGTCAACCAATCACGAACCGCGAGATTGCAGGCCACTGTGCAATTCCACGTCCTGACAGTTTCCAGCCCTCAATAGCAATTTAGCTTACTCTCTCTTAACTCTGAAATAATTTAGTTTAAGCCGGTCCTTATTGTCCAACTTTCTAAGAGTTCTTTACGAAGTCGATTTTTACTAGTAAAAAATGGTGTGTATGGGGTTGTGAACACCAACCTTTTTGAAGTGAGTGATGAAGTTGAAAATTCTCTTCCGGACATGATGGGAGCGTGTTGCTCTCAAATATTTTCATCGGAACGCAACCCTTCTCTTGCAGGGCCCATTCGATGGCCTGCATTCGTTCACATGCCTGTAAAGGGGAGCATAGAGTTGAAAATTCGTCAACTCCAAAGAATCAATGCAAATATACCTGTAAAGTATACGGTTCGAGGCCTTCAACTAATGGTCGACCTTTTCGAATCCATGTAAGCTCCGAGAAATCGTTTACACATGGAGCACGTGTTGTATTTAGTCGGGATATCTGAATAGTTGCACAAAAATAAATGATGATCAGAATAATAAATGTGTAAATAATTCGATGAACAATAAATGAATGAGTAAACAATCAATAAAAAACATGAAGCAAAAGCAATCGGAAGCATTTGTGTGAATATGAGGCTTGCTGGATATTCATCGAGAACTCATCCTCTTATGACTTCAGTCATTGAAGGGGTTTCCGCATGAAACTTGCTCCAAGCTTACTGTTGAGTTCCATAAGTTAGCTTTTTGTTGCATGGCCACCTGATTCGTGGTTGACAGTAGTAAGGAGTCATAACTTTTTGGGCGTCTTGCTGTATGATTTTCAATTTTGTTGATCCAGCTGGCATTTTTTGTATGCTTATTTGTTATTGTCTTTCCTGACTAGTATGGTATAATGTGACGAATTTATATCACCTGGAAAAAGCTCTACGCAATCCTGCTTGGAAAGTGACGTGCTTCAATGCAAACAAAGGCAGCTACGACATGGGTGCAAACGTGGCTTACGAGCTATAAGCGCTCAACGCTCAGCGCTCTACTCTAGAAGCGCCTGCTGTAGCTGATAAATTGGCAGAGTACGAAAAATTCAAGCTGAATAAGGGGAATTATATCTCATGAAACAAAGGAAAATACTCACTACTTATACGCCACGTCCTGCTCCTACGAAAGCTGCGCTGGCAGTACCCTGCAGGCTGCGCTTTGAGCAATTTCCCAGCTCAGCTTCTAGCTGCTACGTCCTAGCTTTCAAATTTGCCGGTCGGTTCTTTTGGATGGGGAAATTTTCTCAGTTTACTGACTCTCCCCCATCTTTCTATTCATTGGGTCATTCTTATACTACATAGTACACCCCCCCCCCCCCCCCTCTTCCTGTTGAACACTTGTACTATTCAATTGCTGAATCAAGATTTATTAATTGCTTAGGAAAGAATAAAATCACACACTTGCCTACTTGAGTTGCCTCTACGAATAATCGATGATGATGGCGACTTCTCAAATAGACTGGATGTTGGGAACCAAAGGAAGAAGTGGAAATCGTGAGTGATATTTCAGAGGTAAAGGCAATATCTGGAAAAAGACCAGGATTGAAGAAATATTTCCATCTCAACCAGAAATTAGAAGCCACTACAATCATTCTCATTTATTGTTCCTACATTACCTAACACTTTATTACGCTTGATTCTCCTAAAAGTCGTGGGGTTTTATTATTTTTTATTTTTTTCAAATTCTATATTTAGTTTTTTTTCAAATTTTTTAGCATTAGCGTGTTTTCGAGAACTTTGGAACCCTTTTGACTTAACCGCCACTTGGAAAAGCCAGATGCAGAAAGTATTAAGCTTAGTTGGCCTACTAATGAACTGAGGAGAACTTGGAGCCACTTTGAGGTGGGCACGATGGTACACCCAAACTCGCCAACCGTCTACTTAGCTGAGAACTTCATGATTGAACCTGTCAGGGAAATAATCCGAAAACCTGTCACAAAGACAGCAGTTTGGCAGCTAGGGGACCTTTTGCCAATACTGATTTACTTCAAAAGTATACTGTAGTGTGAAATACCTTGTTGAAATACTATTGACAACCGCCTATTCAATGTGCGAGCTTCGATTGTGAGGCAATCACCTTTGATATGTACAGAACTGATTCGAGGAATCGCATAAACGTGCTGACTAGCTAACCTGTAATACTTGTATGATTTACTGCAGTGGAATTCTACAAAACTACACTCACTCCAGAGATCCACAAATTAATAAGAATACATTATCGACGTGATTCACATCAGAATATCGGCGCATAAAAGTATTTGCATTAGCATAATTTGAAAGTATATACCCGCTCTGAAAACCTACTAGATTACTCACAAACGGCACACAAACGGTAAACAAGTAAGATTAAAAATTAGATCAGCCAGTAACATCAGCTACAACTGTAAAGCCCTTTCTTTGTGTATCAAACGGCCTGATAAATTATAAAAGTAGAAGNTTGGGTTTTCTCGTTATTTTTATGCATTCCTCCTTGATATACCCAAGTGAATAATTACCAGTTTAGAATGAAATTGATAACTCACGAAGATCATGAAGAACACTAAACATGTGGAGACGACCAGTACCCAGAATATCAATGAAGTCCATGTCCTTGACGTGAAGATACGAATCTGAAACTTGCTTGGCATCAGTCTACCGCCTATTTCACCATGTTCTGCTTACTTTGGTTAGACTAGTTAACTAGTAGAAACAAAACTCGCTAACAAATGGAGTGAAATGGTAGTCAAGAACTCTTCACTGCAAAATCATACCATTCCATGGAATGTGGTAACTCCGGCGAACTCTTGGCCCTCTTCGTTACATACATGAAGGTAGATATTTTGAATTACTTCCTCTTCATCTCCATAATCTGGAAAAGTGCCAAGTTAATACGGTCATCCGACAACAGGTGACAGGTGATACTGCTATCCTATTGCTCAAGGTAAATGAAATCTCAGAACAAAGCGAATAAGTTTGAGATGATTACTTTATTTTTATTTATTTTATTTGTGTACTCTGCTTATATGTACATTACTTTACTGACTAGCGAACAGCGTCTAACTTTCATCAAAAATTTTATGTTTCCCGCACTAGTGTATTGTTTAGAAGAGTAAACAACGCACACGTCACCTTATCACCACCCTAAACCACTCTGCAGTAATCAGCCAATTTCTTGGGGAAATTTGTTCAGTGTTCATGATTTCCTGGTAAAGTGTGCAGGAGGAGAGTAGCTAGTCGCTTTTCGACCTCCAATCTGCCCACATAACTTCAATGTTCAGGACTGCTCTCAGTTTCCTATGGGGTTTTGTAGTTATTTAATGGGAACTGATTTCGTAATTTGAATACTTCGTTTTTTTGCAGAATCCGATGGGACTGAAGAGCTGCAAAAAACAAATATTCTCAAGGTTTTGATGTGATCCATCTATTCACGGAACTGCCCACCTGACGACTTCATATTAATGAGATGCGAGGATGCTTAAGTATGTGGTTACCATGGATACCTTAAGAAGTTGTAGTGGACTTTAGCGGCCTAACCAAGCTCCTCACATTCTAATCCCTAATGTCCGTCACCGATAAGATGTAGTTGAGTCGTTTTCCATTTTTGTAGACCAAGTCCAGACGATGAAGACTCCCACGAAGCGGATGAAGTCAATCAAGTGAGAGGAGCTTGGTGGGATGCACCATCTCGTCATAGGGACTGACACAACGTCACTGGAGCTCATTATATGAAGTCGATAATGAATGGGACACGAGACGATCGATTTCCTGGGTTGCAAAGGGGACGATGGCTAGAAAAGGAGGTTGAGGGCGTTATTATGAGGGCATTTCTGTTAAGTTAACGATCCTGTGGGTGGCATGGTTTCCTGGTCTGTTCAAAGAACTTCAACGTATCGAACCTTTTTCTTACAAGAAAATGAATTTGTTGGAGATTGGTAGGGCTGGAATTTGTAAAGAAGAAAGGGTATTAGGGCGAGTAGCGATATGGGCCCCTTTGGAAAACTAAACAGATAACTATTTTATCTTAAACATGCCATAAAAAAAAGAATGAAAATTACCTTCATTGTCGTCGGCATCACTTCCGCTGTCGTCCTGATTTTCGGTGTTACCTGTGATCGGCATCGAAAGAACAACGAAATCAGAAATCAGTCCAGAGTAATCAAAACGCCGTTTCAATGATATTGACTCTCATCCATACACCCACTTATCGCCCGGACGCAAGCTCTTTGACGAGCGATAAGCCTCGATAAAACGGCAAATTCTGCGCTTCACTTGTAGCTCATTGTTCTTGGAAGTGTACTCATAGGAGAAATGGAGAGATCACTTAACAGTACCTCTGGACTAAATAATTCATCGTAGGTAACATCCGAGTGAAATGAACGAGAGACGTACTCGCTGGTCCCTTTTCACTGAACAGGAAACGTAGGACCGAGTTGATTCCACACCTCACTTATGAATTTCACAACCTACGGAGGCCGTGGAACGTGCAATGGCCTCAACCCCCTGAGTGTGGTGGGTGTGATAGCTGGCTTGAAGGCCTATGTTTTCCACTATTCTCTAGGCAATATGTTGTTGCAGCAAAACGTTACTCAGGTACCGTAATCAACCATAGTAACCTGTTTTTTATTACGATGACCTTGAACTGGGATGAATACTGCTCTAGGTCTGTCTACCATCGAAATTGCTAGAATATTCTTGCTTTTATGAGTTGCTAAGTTAAAGGCACAGTTCACGATAGTTTAGGGTAATCTAGATTATGACGAAAAATGGAAGAGATGGAAAGATATAAAGTCAAGCGATGAAGGCGAAGGAACTGCGTGAATCGTTGTTTCCAAAGAGGAGTAAGGCTTCGAAAAATCGTTCAAATGGAGCTGGACGAGAATGAGACCAGAAGAATGAAGAAAAGTGGGGCGTTTGGACGAACTATACAGTGTGTCTCACTGCGTGCGTGTGGGCCCTGTTGCGAACACAAGCCAAAATTCATTCACTTATAAGCATAACTAAACAAAATTCCTAGTAGCAGCAAAAGTAGCTAACCTTTTTCAGCCTTTTAGGGCAGGAAGTAAAAAAAGAGATCGCGCCAGCAAAAAGAATAACGGAGGAAAAAAGAATGGGAGAAGAACATCGCCTTATCACTCGGCGATCAGCTGATTGTGTATGGGTCCTAGAGTGAATAATTGCAATCCGCATCGCCTCGACACTCGTCTGACGTGACATCGATCGAGGGGCGGGGAAGCCGCTCAAGCCAGCAACAGGGCTTCCACTATGCCCTGACCGTCTAGATTTTGGGAGCGAAAGAGATCTTTCTATTACCCTTTGGGGGCCAATGAGTATTCCTAGGGGGAAAACTCAGTAACCATCTTATCGTGAATCAAGAGCGATACAATATCTATACATTATGAGCTACATTTCATCATTTGTATAACCAAATCATGGACCAAGGTGATGTATAGACAAGTGGCGCACTATCACACACGCATGGTCCGTATTGATTTCAACCCTGAACATTGATGCTTTCAATAATTCAATCCTTACGGGGTTGGGTAATTGGTACGAGGCTCGTCTGGGAGGATAGAAAGCATAGAGTTGTGCTTCAGCTGGCTACCGTGAGCTATTGTATCGGCCACATACTTATTCAGAACCTCACTGCGTTTCTGAGTAGAAGTCAAATGTGGAGAGCACAACACGGACGAGGCTAATGGTGAAAAACTTATCTTCAGTCATTTTTATTACCGTAGACTTTCATACTGTAGACCTGAGAAGTGTGCTCACAGCAGTTTCTTACGGCCCGGAATCAGTTCCTGAGTCTGTTTGGATACGACGTTTGGCTGCTTTCATAGTCTGCGATCCGGCCCGCGAGCGCGCCTGCCGGGAGACTACTCGACCGGCGTTATCGATCAAGATTCAGTTGTAAACATGGGGCAAGCGTCGCCCTCGGCCGGCGCGCTCGCGGGCCGGATCGCGGACTATGAAAGCGGTCTTTTGTTAACTGGTGTTATTTCTCTGCGGAAGGAGATCGGAAAGCCTTACGAGTTCGGCGATTCAAATTCGACCCAAGAATATCGTGATAGAAAATTCTACTGTATTTACCCCCATCAAATGAGCTTCTCATTTTATCGGCAAAATTTTTAATCGAGCGTATACCAGAGGATCCGCGGACTCGCTCTGAGCTACATACCTATCCTCAAAACTGTTGCAAAATTTGGGTCACTTCACTTATAACTCCCAAATATGGAAGTTCTTATGACTTTCCGCTTTTCAAAGCTGTTCAGAACCAGCTTTGTATTTTTTCACGCATAGAAGTAACTAATTTAGGGGAAGCAGCTCACTTATTGATAATTTGCGACGGCTGGTAGATCCTGCGTCAACAACTTTTCCAAACCGTTTCACACTCTTCTGTGATGTATTACAGTGAAGCAGATACTTTAGAAACTTTATTCAAGAAATGAAACAGCGATTCGGGAAGAACACAGTAATTCATGCTAACTGACCAACTTAACAAAAGGTGCGAGAGAACTAGTTCAGTGTAAAACTCCAAAGCACTAATTTAGTAGGACAACCTCATTTGACATGGGAGATAGGCTGTCAATATACAAAATGGAAAATCCTTTTAAAATCGAGTAGGCTTTGATAATACCTATGTAGAGGAAGAATGGAAGAATTCAAATTAGAAATTGGGTTGATGTTGGACCCTCTGGAGGTGGTTTTACTTGAAGAATAGGGCTCACACCGTAAGTTGCATATTTCTCGACCTTGTGCTACTGAAGGGAAGGAAAAATTGAAGCAGACCTGCGCCTGTTAGCTACCTACAGGCTTTACCAGATCAATCGCTATCAATTTCCTGTGGATTCCTTAGTAGCACTTCCAAACCTAAGCTGGAGGTAGTTTTTTACTGGGTGGGAGATTTGAAAGTGAGTGAATAATGTAATTACCCGACCATTGTCAGTAATACTGTAGACTTCAATGCCTAGTAAAAAAAAAATACGCTCGCTATATTTTAAATGAAAATATGAGTCTTGATAAACAGAAATCAGTAGAAAATCAGTATTGCCGTACAAAAAAAATGTGAGCAAATGAAAAGTGGCTGAACAGGACTGGAATTGTAAGTGTTAGAGAAACGTGCAACAAACAGCAGCGCAACGCGACCGCACGCCTCAAAGAGACTGTTGCACTAGTAGTAATCACAGCCGTGATGCCGCGCTCTCTTCGTAGCTGCTCCAGCGATCATAAATGTTACTACTGAGAAGATTGCTGCTACCAGGCACAACCAGTAGGAGTAGGCAAGCTGTAACAAGGAAAATCATTGGCAGGTGTCTGTTACAAAATTTTTGAGACTTACCGACACACTTATTCCGGGGATGTAATTCAGGGTTCCTGAAATTCGTCAAATTTATAGCAGGAAGTACATTTGTAGACCACAACTATATTTGCAGATCATTTGTAGATCATAACTGGTCTCTCGCCTACTACTGAGAGGCAGTTTTTTACTGAAAAGTACTGCAAAAGAAACAAACATGTTCACTTTACCTAAATTTCGGTCATATTCGATTCCATACAAGACCAATTCAACAATGAGGAACAGAGTAATTAGTGTCTGTGTGCCACAAAATTGATGCATAAATTTGTATCTTAGTCTAGGAACCAACCTGAAAAAAAAGAACTTCGCCGTGAGTTTAGGTATTCTGTAAGACTGTTCTGTAGGCTCCAATAAAAGGCTATCAAAGTTTCGAGCAGGACTAACTGCTCGAAACTTTGATAGTCCTTTATTGAAGCTTACAGAACACTAGACTCATTCATCAGTTTTTTTTTCCAGGAATTAGAGATCCAAGGGTTATGAAGAATTTTTGTTTGTTTGCTTACTAAGGTTGTTTTACTATTACTCAATTGCATATCTATGAGATCATGGATCACTCTGCCGCTTGCCACACACGGAAAATCCGCGCGGTGACCTAGCGGTACACAATCAAGGTTACTGTATATTGAGGAGCCAATGAATCTCCTGTTGATTCTTCTGCCAATCGATGTAATACATATATGATGGCCTTGGGTTAGAAGAAGTTCAAAAAAAGCGAGACCCCTTTCATGAGGTTCCTGGACCAACGATTTTTCTGAATGATTTAATACTGAAGTAAAATCGTCATTTTCAAACTTACAGTGCCACGAATGCAGTAATGAGTGCGGCCATTTGGAATATCCAAGCAAACAACATCAAAAAGAAGAAGGTTATGTCAATAGCGCTCATCGTTGAATGTTTCACGTAATGTACGATTATTGATTGGACGGTAACGAATTTTCCAACGTAGTGTACGAATGATAGAACTTTTCATCACTTAATCAAGTGACAATTGTCCCAGATTTTTTCAGATGACTTACAATAACTGTACTAGTACAGTCTATTTGAAGCAGAGTCACTATGAAACTTACATTCCAGAAGACACTACAGGTACCCAAAGATACGCATTTCCATGGAAAAATCCCGGACGATCCAGTAACTGTTAGGCCCATTTCTGAGACATCGACTTCAACCCAACCTGAAATGAATATTTAATAGTAAAGAAAATGGTATTTTGAATAAGACCATTCGATTTGAGCCGTTGATTGCCTTCCACACATCTCTATTTTGTATTGACATGGATACCCTCTTTCAGTTGTAGTTCTAATTTACTAGTTACCCGATTAAGGAGTCAACTTTTTATAGAGTCAATGGCATCACGGATTTTGAAGCTTATAGCACAACTTGTTCAAGAAATGGAATGCGAACTTGTTACTCAACAGTTGCCTATAGATATATTTCCAATATATTCCAGAGATCTCTGAATTCATTCTGTTAATTTCAGCGACTTTACGAATTTTCCAAACTCAGTAACAGTAGGGCTCCAGCGTTTACTAATCCGGACGTCTTGACGCCAGCATATTGATATGGCAAAGATAACGGCGTCATTTTGGTACCCATTGTTCCGATTTCTCAATGGGCCTTGGAAACCTATTGAAAAATTTATTACGTTCATAAAATTTTTGTGTTTTGGGACAGAGGGAAGTAATCTGGCATGATTAAATACAACTTTTCCCTATTAAGCATTACTACTTTTTATCCCTATTTGAACTTCTGAACATACCGTACTATATTATTTCCTGAATATTTCGATCGTTACTTACTTCTACTCGTACTTTTACCTACTCTGAATAACAATAGGGACCTGTGTTAGGGTTATGGTAAAGGTATCAGTGACTATATTTTACTGGTTACTTGTTGGCACCCCTTTTCGATTAGCAGGAATGAAACGAGGAGAGTGTGAAAAAGCCGCAGTTTATGCGAGAAATTCAATTCCCATTATTTCGCCTTACTGTAAGTAAGAAAAATGAAATTATTCAGGGTTACTATAACAAAACTGCCTAAATAATGTGGATTGAGCGAAACCCTTAGATGGCTCGAGATCAGTCGGAAGAAGAAGAAGTAGCTTGAATAAAGACAAGCCGAGAAGTATAAACAAACCTTGAGTAAATAAGCTAATACATATAAAGACGAGTGTGGCAACAGCACAGATGGTAGCCCCAATCAACAATTTCATGAGATGGCTTTGCATACTGGATAGATGCTGAGAAGGTTGCCGAGTGATTTGCGTGAACTGACGTCTTATCGTCACCTAAAAAAGCCCCAAATTGCACAATCAGGATGAATCATTGTTTGAGTTCAAGGCTCAGTGTAGCATAGTGATAAGAGAATCGTGGAAACCTTTCGTGACTCATCTGGAATGATTCGCCAAATTTCAAAATCAACAAGAACGTTTTAAAACATGTTTCAAACCCACATGACCTCAGGGTAGGCACTTGTACCGTTTTGGCCCTATCCTGCTAAATGCCAAATTTCGAGGGATAATTGCTTCTAACAGGCTTAATTATTTTCTTATAATGCATTGTAAAACCTTCAGACAGTCGGGGCCGTCAGTGATGAACGAGAACTCCTCAATGTGCCTCACTTTTTGGCCTTTCCTGAGATTTTGTATGAAAAACGAGTACGTTTTCGTGGGCTGTCAAAAATTCGAATTTCGATTTCGTTAAACTCTTCACTCTTTAGATGACCTCCGAAAGTCCAGTAACAGAGAGAACCAACTCTCTCCAGAGAGAACAAACTCTTCCTTCGAAGTATTAGAGGTGCCCAAACGGGGGAGGGGGAGCTCATAAAAGAAAAGTTCTGAATGCAACGAAACGCTTGGCCATCAATTTTCTGGGAGTGTAAGTGGTATAATTTGTATATAATTTTGTTAATAATTTTGGTAGAATATCCATCAAGCCAAGACCGGTTCCCATATAGTTTAGTGCTTTGAGTTTGCTTTCAAAAGCTTTGAATAACAGCAGCAAAAACGGAGGCAGGTGCCAACCTCGAGGCAGATGTGTCAACATTGAAAAAATGTTGCGATCGTAAACTATCACATGGCTTTTTAGTTTGGTATAGTTTGCCGTTCGGCGCTA